AAAAAAGGGCTTCTACATGTTTATTTTTCAGTCCATCCCCACTACTTTAAAAGAATGTAGAGGAACTAAGAATTACAGAATCACAGAATTGTAGGGGTTGGAAGGGACCTCAAGAGATCATTGGGTCCACCCTCCCCCCCCCCCCCCCCCCCGCCAAAGCAGGGAATTGAAAGGGAATGGTGGCAAGAATGCTCTAATGTAGGACACAGCATTTGTATCAAATTTTTTTCAAAGAGGAATTTCTAAATTGAGTAGGACTCTTCCACCTTGGCATGGGAGAATGGCATGGGTATATAAATAAATATATAAAGCCATGAGTGCTGCTGTGAAAGAGGGAGTGATCACCTGCCATGCATTCTGACATAAGAAGCAAGGCTGTAAAATAAAACTAGCAAAGGACAGCTCAAAATTAATTGAAAGAATTTCCCTATCATATAAGATGCAGCTGAGCTGTGGATGCTGTGGGGCTGTGGAGCCAATGGGTGCTGCAGATGTTGAAGGGGATTGGAAATACAGATTTTTTTTAAAAAAAAAGCACATCAGATCAGTACAGATCAGAGTAATCAGATTCAGTAATCAAATTACCAATTTAGTAATCTGTACTAATTGAATGGAACTGAGACAAGAGAATGTCTACCCTAGCCTTTTCTTTACAGTCTATTCCAGCAAAGGACACCCTTGTCTAGACTATCACGTCAAGCTGAAATAGTTCCTCTATTCAGGAGAATCATAGAATATTCTGAGTTGGAAGGGACCCATAAGGATCATCAAGTCCAACTCCTGAAAATGACATGAACCTCAAACACTGTTCAGGGAAGCAGGAAGCAGTATAAAACTGTGTTTTACATAAGGATCAAATCAAATGTAAGCACTCTGGTAGTGAGGTATTAGTAACATGCAACACCTATCCCAATGCAGTTTCATAGCACTTTAGCAGCATTTGCAGTCTCACAACACCTTCCATGTTGGTGTTGAGATATTACACAGGCTGGCTCCAGAGAAAACTTTGATATGCGTGTGTAGAGAGATTAGCCTTTTACAGCAGGAGAAAGCAGAATACACAGATGTTAAGCACCTAGCTGAAAGTGATCTATCAGCATAGCCAAGACAGCAACCATCCTAGCTACCTTCCAGCCCCATGCTTAAGTCTCTTGACTGATCTGCTCTCCAGCTGACATACTCTACATGGATCTCTGCACCACACTTCCAACCAGTGCCTGCTAAGTGGCATATCTATCACCACCAAAGAGGCACAGAGAGGGAATGCAGCACCAGAGCCAGGGGCTGCCTGGATTCCTGCTCTGAATAGCCCATTCATTGTACACCTTATGGATTTTCCCCACTATGAAGAATGAGTTATTTGTTCAAGCATTGAATTCAAAAAGCAGTGTTAGATCAGTCAGTGCCAAGTTAGGGGCTATTTCAGTGAGCATAGTTAGCCTGAGTCCTCCAGAAAGCATGGGGTGGTTTGAGGACCTGTAGAAAAAGTCCTTCGATCTCCTTGGGAGGCAAGCTAAAGGAAATTGCTTCCGCCCCACAGTCCTGCTGCTGGCCAGGAGGATTGGTTTGTACCTGTCTGCAACATGTGCCAGAATTTGGCTCTTATGCATTAAGAGATTTACTGAAGGATTATGAAGGCTTTTTTCCTCCCTCCAGTTTTGCTTTTTTTTTTTTTTTTAACTATCCTAAGAAATGCATAACTCCAGATTAATTGCAAGGGGGAAGGGAGAGGAACAACAAGAAGTCCATTTTTATTCTCCTTGAATTAGAAACATGAATTTTCTTCCCCTCCCACTGATTCACCGCTCAGCATTCAGCTAAGATGATCACCGAAAAAGGAAAAGCAAATGAACAGTGATGTTTCTTAGGGTATGAAATACTTTACAATTAAATAAGGTGCTGCGGAGTATTGCTCTGATCACCAGTGATTGGTAGCTCTCTGCTAAGCTGCAAATGAATTCAGCACAGGACAGCATTCCAAATTGCTCTTACAAGCTTTCCTTTATTATTTTTATTTGGTTATGCTCTGACTCTCATCCAGAATTGTACTTAATGCCCTTGTCTGAAGTTGTTGAAATGGCACCCCATGGCATAGTGTGACAGCGAAAGGATATTGCCTTTGGAAGCTGCTAATGGTCCATGAAAAGAAAACAGCAGAAAATGGGAGAGCAGTTGTTCCAAAATAATAAGAACAAAAATCTTTACATTTTTAGCTCATCGTCTTCCCATTGTCAGAGGACTGAGAATGGGCAGAACATAGTTTGCAGCTAGTGAGGAGTTGCAGATCCAGATGTATTGCAAGTCAAATATACAAGTAACAAAAAAATAGTGCAGTATATTTAGCAAAATAATTTAATATTTTTAATCTATCACTTACCACTCAAAATTAATAATTGCTATGTATTGTTATTCACAAGATATTTTCATTCCCTGGGGTGGGAAAGATGGACCAATAAAGTGTCATTAGAAATGAGCAGTAAGGTTTGCAAAGGTCAAGCCATTCAGTGAAACCCACAGTCCTTATAACTCAGTTTTAGACAAAGATACTTCAGCAGTCCTGAAGGTCTAAGCCCCACTGAAACCAAAAGGAGATTTCTCCCTCAACTTTTCTAAAATTAGGCGTACAAAACACAGCTGGAAGACCTAGTTCTCCAGTGACTTCAGTCCAGACTTAAATGCATATTGTTCCACTGGAAATATTTTAAAGCAGTATTACAAAGGAGAAGCAATAATCACTTGGATAAAAGAATGCAAATAGACAAGCTACAAGCATATGTAACATATTGTTAACATAATTGTTGCAACAAACCCGTTTGTCCTAAAGTGATACGTTTACCCTACTGTTGAACACACTTGTATGGGTGTGTTCAACACAGAAATGAGAATAAAGGTAATAACAACAGTGGCTCATTCCTTTTAGTTCACAAAGCTGAGCAATCAGGATTCTATATGTCACTAAAGATAGTGAAGGCTAGTCACAAAAGCTATCCCTCCCTCCATCACTAGACTATTTCTATAGTCTTAATTGTTTCAGCATAAGTTTTGACACCTGCCTCTGCATGTACAACTTTAATAGGACAGAAGCTAGACCCTTTTATGTCCCTTACCAGTTTACCAATTTATTATATTGTTGTAGGAGAAACAAGGAGAGACACCAACCTCTTTGTCCCAGCACAGAAACATCAAAGTGGAGTACATGAATCCTAAGTTACATGACAGCTATCTAGCTTACAGTATATTTCACCCCAAAGTAAAGAACTGCATTTTTTTTCAATATAACCATTACTTAAATGTCTTATTGCCACAAAATACCCAATTTTTCTTCCCCTCTCCAAGTAATAATATGATAAAATAATAATAATAATAATTAGAAAGAAAAAACATCACCCTAAGAGACAGTTATGTTTACTGTGTAGTGATTTCCCAATAGAAATGAATTCAAAACAAATTTACATTCTACATTTAAAGAAGATATAAATAATTCATGTTCTCATATCATGAGCACTCTGCATGTCATACACCGGGGTACCTGTAATTTTTCAGTTTATCCATTTAAAATTTTCATTCAGGAACTCATTATCGTGTTTTTTTGTGCTTCTATTCCACTGTGGTAATTTAATAGTCTTCAATAGAATTATGTTCAATCAAAATGTATTCAGTTTTACCATTCCAAATCTTTTTAGCTTTTAATTTAATTGCTGTAAGCTTCAATTTTACTTGTGTACTATTAACTCACCTTGTTCACTGATTCTGCTCTCAAAAATATGAAAAGACTAACCCAGTAAAGGCTTCAGACCAGGTTTTCATTCCTCTTAAGCCACTTTTGCATAAATGTTACTCCATTTATTTCAGGCTAGTTATTTTTATAATCTCCAAGAGCAGGGTCAGGCTTCATTTTTCAGCAGCCCTTCTTCTTCCATGTAAACACAGTGAACTCCCTTGCTTGCTAGTTCACCCCATTGTCCTCTGACATTATATACTCAAAAACAAGCATATAAGTAGTTGCTTTGGTGAAGAGAGAGGTAAACACTTTGCTTCTTGTAGGATCAGTGACATAACATGGAAATGGACCTTTTTACAACCACTGGAGGCTTGCTGTCTCAAAATAGACAAAGTGAATGGCTTACTCATGGTAAAGTAAAAACCATAACTCAAGCTTTCTTCTGGACTACACAATTTTGTATAACCAAAGGCACAGGAAAGGTAGACCAGGAAATCCTCACCAGTTTATGGGTCTTTGCAGCCAGAAGCAGATTTCCTAGGCTGTGCTAATATACAAGCACTGGACTTTGACAAATGTTTTAGGAACAGAAGAGCTGTCTGAAGGGAGAAAATTAGTTCTGCATCTTTTGTATTGGGACATCTCTGATCCAATGTTGCAAGTGACAACACACCACTGAGCCATACGGTGACATTACCAGGTTTACAACTGTTCTGTAACTGCAATTGATTGATATAGTTTTATCGTCCAACTTTCAAAGGTGCTAACATCTTGCCTACTTTTGAGCTACTATTACAAACTGACTAGGTCTGACCGACTTGTGTTCAGTGGTATAATGAAGTGTCCTTGTGTATTAAAGCTAACTTGAAACCTTGGAAATAGATAGGCTATTTCAAATTCAGGTCTGTATGGAATTGCATTTATCAACATTCACTTTCCTCTGCTATTGTGTTAGGTCCTATTGTTTTCTTCTAATGTTCCTTCTGACTTTTTACTGTCTTAAATGACTGCAAATTCTTCTACCTGTGAGTTTATTTTCCTGTTCTCAAATGTAAGTTGGTACTTCTACCACCCCCAAACCTTTGAATGCTCCTTTTCTCCTGTAACAGAGCTATTTTTTCCTTGTTTCTATCAAAGGAACATTCTGCAAAGGCATTTTGTAGACAAAGATATATTTGTCTAATAAAGTGTCTTTTTCATTTTTTATGTGTAAAGAAAATTCAAAAGGTGAATGTAAATAAAATAAGGAGATAAATTTTGTTAGAAAACACTCCCCAGTCATCTGGAAACTATGAAGTATGTGGTAAAGGCCTTGGAAAAGCATGTTGCAAAAATGGCTTGAAATTAATCAGGTACACAATTTACTGGAAACAACAACTACAGCAACAAAAGTTAGGTACATATCTATTGCTCAACTTCATAACCTTGTTGCACAGGTATTTGTTGGTTACAGTAACTTTCACTCTTCTCCTAAATATTATGTATTCATCAAAAGATCAAATGATCTACCCAAATCTAAATGACCCATCAGATTCCATTGTCAATGGCATGGAAACAGGCAGTATGCTCAACAACATCTTGGTCTTGCTTCAAGAAACTATTAAAACATAAATAATAATAGACGAAATATTGGTTAAAGTCTACAGCAAAGTCTAGATCCACACTGTTGGTGCTGTGTCAGTCCCCATATTCACTTTGCTGTTTGAGAAGAGATGAGGGCTCTTGCTTGGATCGGACCAAATGTTCAGTTAGCTGACACCTCTGTCTCTGACATGGGTCAAACACAGAGGCTTTTCCCCTTTTTGTGGAGATTCCTCCACAAATGTAAGAAACTTCCATTTAGACAGGGCAACAGATGGTCCTGCCAAAAAAAAAAAAAAAAAAAAAAAAGTAAAAAAAAACAGGATTTTTTTTTTCATGTGCACTGACATATGTTTGTCCATCCAGAATTCATTTGTCCTGTGATATAGGATTTTCCCTCAGTTGGCAGTAATGAATCCCCTTTATAAATTAATGCCAGAAGCATTTCATTTTTAATGTTAAACAGACATCGAGCTCTTCGATCACTCCACAAAAAAGCAATACATGGAACTACAGGTGTGGTGTCCCAAAGCAAACTGAACATGGGAAAACAAAGTTTTGTATTTTAAGTTTCAAGCAGTGCTGAAGTTTAGCTGAGAATTTGTGTGCCAAGTTACAGCTTAAAGGGATTTTTTTTGGCTACAGTATAAGCCCTGGAGAATAGGAAGCATTCTAGAGGAAGCATCAAATCACACTTAACTACTGTATGGCAGAGCAAGTGGCTGTGTTACAACACAATCATTCAATAAGATAATTTCTTATGTTAGCATTTTAATTAAAATAAAGAATACTTGCCTCCATCTTACACTCTACGATTCTCTTTTCAAATTACACAGACAGACAAAATGTACAAAGCAAACAGAAAATAGGATCACAAATCCTAGCAGACTTGAAGGCATGACTCAGAAGCTTTGTTAGAAATATGGCCAATAAAACCAGAGTTAATGATTCCATAAACATTTATTTCTAGGAAATATTAACAACGGTCCCTAAAATGTTTCTGGGCAATAAAGGATAAATAACACCTATTATTAATGTAATGGTAAAAAATGTCATTTACCACACATTTGCAGTACTCTAGTTAAATACATTATTAAACAGCATCCCAGTATGGATTAACACTGAACAGAAGCTCCAGATGTAGAGATGTTTCCCTGTGGTTTTATCAGCATCAACACGCTTGTTGCTAGCCCAATCCTGATCCCAGTGTGGACAGGGCCTTTGGCTTGCTCTTTTTGGTTTTTGGATGAATAATAACATTTGTGCAGACTTTGCACTGGGCTTGGTGCTTTGATCAAAGTACTTTCCAGTGGACGCAGAATTTGCCTCTAATGTTTGCACCTCAGCTTGTAAATCACTGGGGCGAGACCCTGTCAATCCAGCCTTGCATACCACTCTCTCCAGCCAAACAGTTGCACAGATTGTCCCCTACAAGACCTACAGGTCTTGTACAGAGACAAAATAGGTCTTCTGCCCATGCCAACAAATGGTTCAGGAGCCTTCCCTGCACTTCCTTCCCTCACCAGCTTTTCCCAAGCAGTGTCTTTGCTCAGCCCAAAGGCAGCAGTGGGAGATTAGATGGCTACTGGGCAGTGTGTGGCAATAGCCAGTAATGTACGCGTCTGTTTCTGACAGTAGAAGCGGTCTTGAGGAGAGGCAGTGCCTTCTGTGGTGACCTTCTGCTCTTCTCCACTAGCCACATAGCTCTGGGCTTAGAAATGGTGTCTTTTTTTGAGAAAGACAAGTAGTGTGGCACAGCCAGTGCTAGCTAAAGATGTGGTCAAAGCCTCTTCTGCTCATTGCAGTTAAAGCTGATCTTCTCACTGGAGCCCAACCCAGATGTGTTTTACGGAAAGGTATTGCCTATAGTATCCTGGAGGATGAAGCAGGTCCATGAAGGCTTCTTTCACCGTCCCGTAATCCTGCAGCCCCGAAACGCTTAACGCAGCAGCAGCCTTTCACTTGGGTAACAGCACTCCAAGTTGGTTGACATTTGCCTCCCTGCAAGGGAAATTTTCATCACTGATCTCTGCGTGGTCGAAGACGTGCTCTGGGTTATACGCGATCATGTCTCCCTCTAGTGACTAAATGTCTGTACTTTTGAAAGTCGTGACCCCAACTTTACAGATATTTTCAAAAGGACTGTAAATTACACACCTACCTATCTATCTGTAGATGAAGCGCTCTCTCTCTCTCTCTTCCTCTCCCCCCCGATTCTCTCCCCCCCCCCTTTTTTTCTTCCCACTCCTGAGTGTGCACCAAGGAACAAACTGGATTTTCCTTAATATTACCCATTTATTAATAGTGTAATAGGACCTCTCAGTATGCTTCGTGTCTCCATTACGTTGGGCTTTAAAACAAAAAATGCAGCATCTGACCAGGAGGAATGATAGATCTTGATTAAACAGTCAAGCTATTTACTTTGTACTGGCAGCTAATCTTTGCCCAAACATTTAAATCCAGACAGTGATTAACAGCAACTCTACTAAAACTATCACTTGTGCTTAATACAGATATGAGAATCCCTCTTTCTTATTTGGCAAGCCAGAAGAAATCTATTTATCATCACCAAAAAAAATGTGGTTCAACTTGTTTTTAAAAGACATAGAGAAACATGGAAAATAATGTTCAGACTTTTGTTGACTGGAGAAAAGAGTTAAGAGACAATGATCAAAGAAGCTGGAGGCTCACAAAAAAAAGCCTGCCACACTGTTTTTTCTCTAGCTTATCCCAAAGGCAATAACTCACTTCACATTGGTAATAAAGAGCAACAACACACAAAGCATTGGACAGGGAGGATATCCTGAGATTTAGAAAAACAAAATATTTTATCTTTAGTCCTAGCAATATGAGGCATAGTACAAATCCTGGTACTTATCAATAAATGGAAACAGAACATCAGACCATAGCACTAACCAAAAAATAGTGTCATGGCACATACTAAGGATAAGCACTAAGAAGCAAGGAAAGGCAATACAAAAATCCCATGTGAAGTAATGTCACATTCCTCACATAGGGACAGAAGGAAACAAGGAAGAAAAATGACAATATATCTGAGCTGTATAAAAAGAGAAACATTACAAAACATTATTTTAAAACTGCTGGGAGATGCTAAAACAAGCAGCACAGGACAAAGTCAGCTTCAGACTCACTTTTCCACACAACATTTTAAAACAATTATTATTGTAATAAATAGAATTGAAAAAGGATGTGAAAATGATAGCTTTATATGTTTTCTTTATTGAATGTGTACCCTGGCACGTAAAATCAATTTTTCCAGGTGGAAAATAAAATTGATTTTTGTTCTCATTTGTGGTGGCACTGAGCTTGTCTAACTCCATATGTAACCTGTGGGTACACTGAGAGTTCAACAATCTCAATATTTCTCCTGACTTGGGAACCAGAACCTGGTTCTGCAACTGTCAATATGTTTGGCCTCAAAACTTTATAGGGTCTCATGAAGTGGGAGCAAGGAACATCTCTACCATCTGTAACATCTGAGTTTCATGTTATCCCACTAGATACCCTAGATATTTCAGAGGGGAAAAAAAAAAAAAAAAAAAAAAAGTATTTTAAAATCTATAGAAACTGAAAAAATTTGGAAGTAGGAATGGTACCAAGGGCTAGATGTCAAGTTTATAGTGTTCCTCAAACTATTCCTACCTAACTGCAAAACACAATATTCTACCAGTATTTTATATGGTCTGAAAGTTCTTTTTTAATTAGTAATAATAACTGCAATAGGACTACAAAGCTAGAGAATCCCTTGAAACTTTCCTTAAAAACTCACTGTGCACCTACTCTGTTTTCAAGGATGGCTTTATTTTTCCTGCTTAGTCAGCTCTAGTTCAGCTTCTTCTCAAAGTCCTAGTCTGGTCCTGCTGCAAAGGACTCTAAACACAAGTGCATGTCCTTCACCTCAAGACACTTCCTAGACTCCTTTAGGTACAGTGTAAAAGTATGAAATAGACTGTTTTTGTTGTTGTTGCTGTTTTCTAAAATAAACTATTTTGCAACCATTCCCCTTTTCATCACCTATATCCCCCTGTTCACTTCCATGGATTCAAATCACTAGCTATATTAACAGCATCTCCATATCAGAAAATCCTGGAAAAGGTAAAGAAATACAACACATTTACAAATCTTGAAAATACTACAAGCAACCATCCGTACTGTCAAAACCCAAAAGGTATTCCAGTGCCCCTCAAGAGCAAAGCAGACAGCTCCACCAGTTACATCTCTTACACCTATAGGTGGCACTAGCTATGTTCGTAACATCTCAGCCCATGATTTCATTTATTTTTGCGGACCTTGACTACAGCTTCTTGTCTCATTTCTCCCTTGCTGTCAGTAGAGGTGTTAATCACAGACTTTAAATACATTCAGAAACACTTTCAGCCACACTACTCATGCATTTAGAAAGCAGAAACAAACTCTCTCCATGTCTGCCAGTTCACACACCTCTACCACCTGGGAATATGCCAATGTTCTCTGGATGTCCTCAGATATTAAGGCCAAGTAGTTGCAAATACCAGTCTGAATCGTACTTCTCAGGATAGGTCTCTTAAAACGTTAGGGGATATTTAACATTATTCTCCCAGACCAGTGTCTGGTGAAGAGAGGAAGCAAACCTACCAGGCTCCCAAGGAAAGCAGCATCAACCCACGATTCACAGTTCACACAAAATTTGACAATGCGACATTGACTATTTTTTGAGCCAAAGATCTTTCTAGATTATAACCACTAAGCTAAGCAGCAAATGTTTTTCCTGTCACATGAGAAATTTCTGAATTTTGGCAAAGACCCAAAACCTGAAAAATAATGCTGTTCAAAAAGACAAATGAATAGAAGTCACTAAGATTAAATTGTTAAAATATTTCATGCATGTATTTTTTTTTCTTATTCTTATTAAATCTTTAAATTATAAATTAACTAAAATACTGTAATGAAAATATTGGCTTGAATTATAAAAGAGTAAACTGTTCTTGAAAATTACAAAAGGGAACATTTCAAGAAGACACCCACCCCCTGCATGAAATGTTTCAGATTCATTCAGAACAGGCCAAGATGACCCTTTCTTACAAGCAGGTTTTATTGTTGTTTCAGTGAACCTGAATTTTCCAAAAGAGGAAACAAGGAGTTAAAATAAAAAAGGTTTAGACTTACTCATTGAGTGTCCTATTTCTCTTCCTTGCAGTCTGCTAAGTTTTACCCTCCTGTTTTCTTTAATTTTATGATTCATTTTATTTATTTTATTTTATTATTTTATTTTATTTTATTTTATTTTATTTTATTTTATTTTATTTTATTTTATTTTATTTTATTTTATTTTATTTTATTTTATTTCTCTAATTCTGAGAGCCAAAATGTTGGAGAATAAACGTATTAGATTTTTTGCCCAAACTCTGGTGTTTGACCTTTACAAACAGATAGTACCCTCACACCCTGCTCCATCCAGAGAGAGCTACAAGGAAGACTTTACTCCAGAGACACACAAAACTTTTCCAAACAGCCCAGGAATTTCCTCAGCTTGCTCTGTCTTCAGCTGTGTGCCCAGAGCACAAGAAGAAGAAAAGATGGATCAAAAATATATTGAGGGAAGGACTAATTTCACGTAACTTCAACCATCTAAAATGGAGATGTCTATTTGAAACCACCCATTTAGGATCTGTCAGCACTCAGTGGAGCGTGCTGATTCATCTCAGCCTGAAGCAACTCCTTGTGGGATGAGTTGCCCTCCAGAAATGTCTCTTGGGTGCCTACCGAAGAAGCCTGCAGAACTCGCTTATACTCAGCACATCACATTATGCCGGAATAGTTGACCTGATGGCAAAGACCCCATGCACATACCCTGAATGCAAATGCTGCTTTTGGGAACAGAGTGTATAGGGGCGGATGTTTGCCTCCTTCCCCTCCTGGTCTCCCTAGCTGGTTGCCATCTGTATCACAAGGCTTTTAAACCTCAGGCCATCTTTGTGCCGTTGTTTGGATGGCTTGTTAGATGTTGTGCTATCCTGCTCTTCCCTTTTCTTCTTAGCCTCCAGAGAAAATACAAATATTACGTACTAAAATTACTGGTCTTTTCTTTACAAAAACAGGCCAAGAAGCATTCAGAATATAAAACATTGCATATACCCTAATATAGAGGCTGAAGAATTCGAATTCATTCTTGTTGCAACATTCTTTTATTCCACTTTCCAATTGTTTATTTAAATATTTAAATGATTAGTTATTGTGCGACTTAATTAAAAACAAACAAAAAAACACAAACAAACAAAAAAAAACCACAACTGTTTCAACACTTCAGCTCTGTTAAACTACATTTTACACAAGAATTAGTGTGAATTTTACTGCTATATTTTCCTAACTTATTAAAAGGGCTGTACTTTACAAATAAAACTGCAGGATGGATTTATTATTTACAGTCCTAGTCCTAGCCTTCGTATCTACTTAATATGTGTAAAGTGTTTAGTTTTCCAATGTAGTCCAGCTGCATCACTGGAATCAAACTTGTAATTGCCTCTTTGGGATTTAAAACCATTACAGTTGTGCTTTTATGTTCTCTTTTGTTTTGCTTGAATCACTTTTTCAGGTCTATGAAGTACAGCTGGCACAATAAAAGTTTGATCAATGCATAACCAATGCAGTGTATATTTCTTCCAGATATATAAAACCCAGGTGAAAAATGTTAATCTATGAAAATTATCTTTGTCAGCTACTTATTCTTGGAATTTAAATCGGTTTCAATCTTGAGGTATATGGTTTGGCCTGGGGTTTTCCAGTCTGGGTTTTTCAACAGTTTCTTGTAATGTGTGCATTTGACATATTAAAATGAATGATTGCCTGATGTAAAGTTTCAATTACCAGGGCAGATTTTTTTTCTCATACTGTGATACTTGAATAAAATTATCCCGGAACCACAGAAGTTAGCATTGGAAAAATCCTGCACAAGCAGCCTTTATTTCCTTAGCAATTTTGGATCCTATCACGCATCATTGACA